CTGCAGAAGGTGATCTCACAGAGCTTGCTTTCTTGCCTGCCTGTCTCTCCCCACTTCCTCTGTTCTCCTAACACTGGCCTCCGCTCTAACTCCTACACACTTATGGTGCAAGTGCCTCCTCTTCTGCTGTTTTTGCTGCCTCGTGGATTGCTCAGCTCATCTGACAACATTTCTTTCAGCTTGTCTATTCTTCCTTCTCTCCCTAAGATGGTGTCCCCCTAAAAGGGGTTGTGGGGACATGTTTTGTATGAAGCAGGCAATCTTTCTACACCGTGCAGGTATTGGGGTAAGAGCTGAGAGAATTGAGGAAAATGAGCCCTCCACATTGTGGGCAGATCCCATCCTCATCACCAAGGCATTTAGGCTCTTGCTGGGAAAGGACCCCAGGCATCTCAGGGTCTGACTGCTCCATGGTGCTTCTCAGCTGCCTAGACTCACCCTTTACCAGCCATGTGGCCTTGGGACACTCCCTTGACAGCTGTCTGCTATGTCTCTCTGCTCCCTTGCAGGCTGCCTCATTGACAATGCTGACTGGCATCCCGAGGAGATTTCCGTGCAGTTCTCAGCTGCCTTTGGTTTGGGGCAACTTCCCTGCACAGAGGGGCTGAGCAGGCTACAGGTCAGCAGCCTCCTGTCTGACTCCAGCGTGGAAGCAACCAATGGTGAGACTGTTGGAGCTTGGAGAGGGACAGGAGGGGATCGTCCTTTGCCAGGTACATTCTATCTTTTTAGCTTTCCTTCCCCACCTTCTCCCCCCAATGTGAGGGGCTTCTGTTCTGCCCATTGGGTCTGTGTGTCCTGAGCCACCTGCTCTGCTCACTCACAGGTAGGAAGCTGCCTAGCTCATAGATGCATCTACAATTGCCTGCCTGAGGCTGAGTCTGCCTTCAGTGCCTTCTTTTAGAGGAGATATAAAACAGGTCCCAGTAGCTTCTCATTGTCGAAGATCCCAGAACAGTTGTGTGAGGAGTCAGGGTGCTAACTGGCTGTGTTCAATAGACTCATAGAGAAGTCGGGCTGGAAGGGACCTCCAGAGGTCATTTAGTCCAACCCCCTGCCTGAGGCAGGGTCAGCCCTATCCAAACCATCCCATACAAATTCATAATCTAACCTCTTAGTAAAGTGTACAAGTAACTGAAGTTCTTAAATGCCCATTGTAGTTGCACTTGGGAGTAGTCTACTTCATCGCTTCCTGTCCTAGGTAACAGTTCTCTCCCACTGGTAAGGAGCTGCTGTGCTCAGTCCTGGGAGCTGCTGCATTTCTGCAGTGGGTAAAGCGGTCTTTTTCTAAACAGCTTGGTCTGAAGCAAAATGCTGCAGGGAGAGTTTATTTTCAGAGGTATTAACAGCTCTGCTCCTCAGGACTTAGAGGAGATTTTATTGCTCTGGGTTTCCTAACAGATTCAACAGCAGGAGGTGAGACCCCCCAAAGCCCATAGGGAGGGCCTTTGACTGGAGCTGACAACCTGAGCGCTTTGGTGCAACCCCACATGGCTGCTTGGAGGAAGGCGGGGTGCAGGGTAGCAGCCTCAGGGTCTGGACAGATGGACTCATTTATAATCTGCCCTTGTGTCATGATTGCAGAAGGAGCCATGGATGATTGGACCAGTGAGCCAGAGGGACTGCCTGTTGGCCTGAGCACACCTGCATCTGGCTCCTCACTTGGAGCAGAGCACGCCAAGTCCCACCTGGACAGGTGAGAATATCAAGGGTTAATGCACCTTCCTGTGCTGGGGAGGAGAAGGCCTTGAGTGAGTGCCCAGGTAAAGCCAGGGGCAGCAGCTGGAGCAGGGGACTGAATCAAGGGCTGGTGTGCCCAGCCTCATAGTCACTGATGGCTCCATCCACCTTTAGTAGGGCTCTGTGGAGGGTGATATAGCTAGCACCTTTCCACCTGGAGGCACATATCACTTGGCACCATCAAGCCTCCCCTCCCCTATCCACCCCCACCACCAAGGCCAAACAGCATGTCCTTTGCCAGAGCCTGGACTAGAGGCCCCACTTCTGGGTTGTGCTTTAACCACTAGACGTGCTGCCTTCTTAGCAGCGTTCTCACCTTGGGGCGCCTTCTGCCTATGAATGCTGGGCTGGCACCACCCACACCCTGAGGAAGACATTCAGTGGCAAGGGGGAGGAAATTTCTCCTGGCCTCTGTCTCACTCTCAGCATCTGGTCCAACAACATCCAGGTGCCAGGTGTGCCTGGAGGGGGAAGGGCTGAAGGTCAGGTTTCTCACCTGCTCTGGGCCCAGTCCTAGGTACCCTGTTGGGAGCATGGTGCTGACTGGTAGACCTGCTTTACCCTCCATGGGGCCTGTTCCTCTGGAGCCCGTTCTAATGTTTTGCCTGGAGCATGGGGTCAATACATACGCATGTTGTTTGCTAGGGTTGCTGGGGCCTCCTCTCACACTGGTTCCCAGTAAGAGGCACACAGGAATAGCACTGAGATGGGGCCCACAGGGTTCAATTTTCTCTGAGGCCAGGTTTGAGACCCCGAGCTCTTAGGAGAAATCTGTGGATATGTGTGCGTATCGGGAAGGGCAGGTACTGGGCAAGCTGAGGGGAGTAGTATGGTGAGGAGTGCCTTAACTGGGATGCACAGGGTGCTGTCTGTGGGGTGTATGTGCTGAGATGTGCTTGGGATAAGCAGCTGCGTTGGAGTGTGCAGGGGCTGGTGGATGTCCCTGTTGCCAGAAATGGTGGTGGACAGTGTTGTAACTAACTATGGGGGTACCACCAGTGGCACTGATTTGGATGGTGGGGTAATAAAAAGCAGCTGCTGCTGGCAGCTGTATGATCACAATTGCGATGGCATAGCAAGCAGGAGCCCCTGATGTCCTGTGGCCTGTGTGCCCAGCTGTGCCCTTGCCCTTTCTGGGGTAGATTCTAAAACTAAAGCCTCCCACACTTGGAGTCACCTCCGCTCTATAGGCTCCGCTGCTCTGAGGACTCCCATTCCCTCTTGTTCATTCCAGTGCTGACTATCCAGCTAACATGGAAAGGACTCCTTTGACAGGACATGGGGACTCACCAGGGTGCAGTGGAAAGCAAATATAGGATAACTACAACTAATGGCAATGTACTAGCCCAACACTGGGGAGTGTCAGGGGGGTACAGGGAGGGGTGCAAGGAGGGTTGGATAGTCCCGTTTCCCCTGCATTCCAGAGAGTTGCCTATGCCATGTGCCAGAGATGTTCCTGGACCCTTTTTTACTACAGGTGGGCTGGGGAGTCATTCTCAGATGCCAGGAAGGTGTTGCAATTTGATCTGGATGAGGCAAGTGATTCTGAGGGAGGAGAGGAGCCTGGGTTCCTTGGGAGTTTCAGCGGCTCTGCTCTGCAGTGTCTGAAGGAGGACATCTTGGGGACGGTAAGAATGCCAGCTCCTGCGCATGGGCCATGTGGATGGAGATGCTGTTGTCTCTGCCAGCTACCATGTGGTGCCCCCTCCTGCTCTGGGCTGGCCTGTCTGTCAGGTGGAGGCTAACAGCCTGTTCAGCCTACAGTGGGCAACCTGTGCAGACCTGTGGACTTATATGGGGCTCTGGGGTACTGCTTGACCTTTGCCTTCATCAGTCTGTTCCGGTCCTGGAGCAATGCTACCCCTACTCTGTGCCTAGAAGATGAGTGCTCCTTAGGGGCAGCCCGAAAGGCTCAGGGTCACTGTGGCTCAGAGGGGACAGCTGAGGTAGCAGATTGCTGCAGATTGCTGATTACTGTGTGGCGACCTCCCAGCCCTTTACAGGGAGCCCTGCCACAGAAACCAGGGGGAGCCCTGCTTTATTCCAGAGGTGGGGGAGCAGCTGGCAGTCCATCCATCTAGTCCCTGGCTTCTCCAGGACAGTGGAGCCTGAATAAGTTTGCGGCAGTGGCTCTGAGGAGCTGTCTACAGCTTTCTACCAGTAGCTTGGTGCCAGTCCTGTGGGAGTGCCCCCCCACTGCTGCACTTAGGACAAGATTGTCAGGCCTGGGACTGTGTCATGGGTGGTTCTCATTAATAGATTGGTGGGGCAATTCAGGGAGGCATTAGACCCCACTGAAGGGGAAGGTGGGCTCTCCTAGCTCTTTGCTATGGGGCTGGACTGCAGCCCAGGAGCTTTGCTTTCTCCTCATCTGCAAAGCTTGCTCTTTGTGGCTCTGCATGCTCCAGCGGGCCCTCACCCTCCTTGTGCTGTAGAGAGCTGGCATGGACAACTTCCAGGAGTTTCTCCAGGGCACCCTGGGGATCCACCTCCTCCACTTCTGGATTGACTGTGAGCATGCCAAGGAGCGCGCCCAGTGCTTGGAAGCCAGCGATGCCCAGCTCCTCTACACTGACCTCTTATGGTAGGGATGGGTGACCAGGGGAATGATGCACTCAAACCCTAGATGAACAGAAAAGTGTTGGGAGGCACGGATCCATGGTGGTGCCTGTTCTCTTGTGGACACAAGAGGGGTCACGGCTTCATTACTAAACCTATGATAGGTGCTGACTTTGGGTTTTGGTGGTGGGTGTTTTTTGGTTTTTTTGCATTTCTGTGCCAAGCCCCATGCATGCCCAGAAGAGGCAGTGCATTACTTCAACCTGGTTCACCCAGTGTGGCTTGTGGGTGCTAAGCACCTCCTATTTTTTTCAGTGGGTTCTTGAGCCCCAGAGCACCCACTGAGTTGGCACCTATGACCAAAACCACTCAAGCTGGTTGTCTCTTTTTATTGCCCCCAAACCTCTGTCTGCTCCACCTCCTGGCATGTCAGGTACACTGCTGGTGGTGAGGACGGGACCACTCAGCAGCCATGAAGATAGGCATAGACTAGAGAGTTCCCTCTCTGACTCATGGGTGAGGAACCCCTAATTCCTGTGGTAAATGAGCATGCGTGTGCACAAAGGAGGGCCCTAGGGGAACCCCCCAGCCTGACACTCATAGCAGTGCCCATTTCCCTAGCGCCTGTCAGAATAATCACACAGAGTAGCCTGTCCCACACAGGAACCAGATCTAGCACATTTCAGGATCCACTGGGGGGAGAGGTGGTGGGGAAGGGTTGAGGAGTGAAAGAGCAGCCCCGATGGGGTCTGTTCTGCTTGGAAGGCAGCACTGGAGGTCTGTTGCTTTGTAGCTTTCCCAACACTTGCCCCGTGGGAGACCCACACAGGACAGGACACCACCTCAGATCACCATCACAGATGTTCTGGGTCGGTCTTCTCCTCTAGACCCTGTGGGTCTGGCTTTCCTGAAAGCACTCTATGGGCCTTGGATACTCCTTTCCTGGAGTTGAAGCCCCCTTCTTGTCTTTGCAGGAGTATTCGAGACAAGTACAAACTGGACCTGCCTCCTGCTTCCCAGGTAAGGAAGGCTGCTAGGGAGGAGCCCTCACCCCCACACACCCTTTGCAGCTTTAGCAGATGTGTGTCTGTGCTCTGGCAGGTCTGAGCTGAACATCGCAGCTGTGGGCAGAGGTGAGAAAGCAGAGCCCTGGGGAGCACTCTGCATGTGTGTCTGTGTCTAGTATTGCCTCCCCTGCCAGGAAATGCTCAGGCTAATTAAAGTGCTCCTATTTTTGGCTTTCAGTGATGCTGGGGGCCTGATGCTGCCTGGCTCTGAGGCCTCCCAGGTCTCTGCTTAGCTATTAGTAGGGGCTGGCTCAGGCCTTGAGGCAGCACGTGTCCTGCTTGATTAATCCTACCAGTTATTTGTATTAGTGCATGGCTAGGCCTAGGAGGCCTAGCCATGCACCAAGACCCTGCTAGCACTAGGTGTTGTACAAACAAAATAGAGAGTCTGTCCCTGTCCCTGAGAACTTACAGTTTTAGTCCCGGTACTAGGCAAGAGACAACAGATAGGTATACAGCAGGGGTGGCTAGATTGCAGCCATTGAGCAACATGTAACTCCTAGGCAGTTTGAATGTAGCTCCTGAAGAAAGAGAAGTAGTGGGGCACTGTGTGCAAGTTGCTGACTATAAAGCATGCACATCTTGGATTATTTGTGTCCTGTGGCTCTTGGCCATGTCAAGATTTGCAGCTAGCAGGGGCAAGAAGTTTGGCTGCTCCTGGTATGGACAGACGGGGCAACACAGAGAGACAATGAGACCACATCAACCAGTGTGGTAGGCAGCAGTCTTAGCTCACCAGATGTGTAGCCATTCCTAAGGCATCATGGCAAAAAGGAGTTTTATGCAGGGTTTGGCCATTTTGTCAATGTCTATGGAGAGCTCCTCCCAAGCGCAATGAGCTTCCTGGGAGAAAACACAAAGGTGCCTGTGTGAAAATCTAGCCTTGACTTTGACCCACCATGCTAGTCTTCACCACCCGTCAGATTTGGGAATCAACATCCCAGTAGTGATGAAGATATGACATAAATCAGTGGCTCCAGAAATTTGGTGGCAGGGGAGCTGTGGTATTGTTAATTGCTGGTCTCCTGCTGCCAAGTTTCCAGACCTGTGGGGAGCCCTGTGGCCTGGATAATGTGGCCCAACATGCTAGATCATACTACGATGTGATTGACTGGGCATGCATGGTCACTCTATGGTCAGATCCAGGCAAGGGAGGCTGGGTTAGCATGTAGCTAGATCTGGCATGTGGGGTCAGGCTGGTGTGCTGGAGCACACCTGCAGACTGACCCCATGCATCAACCCCATGCAGGATCCAGTCCAAAGACCAACCTCTCTTCTAGTCTGTGGGGCTAAAAGTTTGGACACCACTGATACAGTTGGTAGGTATGGGCCATGAAGGGCCACGAAAGTGAAAATGAATGGTTTAAGTCTGATAAAGGAGAGAAGGAAAATGTGGCCAAAACAATGGACTAGGAACCTAGTTTCTGCAGCTGTGTTCTCGGTGGATATGAGTAGGACAAAACTGCATTTGTCAAAGGCAGAAAAGAGGAGGTTGCAGTATTCAGGATGTGAGATGAGAGCCTGGATGAAAGTTTGAGCCATGTGAAGGGATAGGAAAGGGCAGATCTTAAAAGATGTGATGCAGAAAGAACTGGTTAGATTTAGACATGGCTTGGATATGAGGACCTAGGGAGAGGTCCAAGTAAAGGGATACCTAGCTGCAGTGCTGAATTCAAGCTGGGATAGTACTGTCATCCACGGGGCTCAAGAATGGAAGAGAGGGATTCAGGTTGGGGAAGACAGAATGCTCTGCTCTAGCCTTGGTGAGTTTGAGCTGCCAGTCACACATCCACAAGGAGATGTCAGAGAGACAGGCTGGATGGAAGGAGACAGGTCTGAAGAAGACAGGTAGACCTTTGAGTTGTCACCATGGAGACGGTAGCTGAATTTGTGCCTGTGGCTGAGATGGCCCTGAGTTAGTGTGCGAGGGAGAGGAGGAGATCAAGGATAGAAAGTTGGAGGGGGGGATGAGGTTGGACTCACACAGGGTCACCTTGCGTGACCTTTTAAAATGGATGAGAATGTGTAAACTCCCCTGTGTAATGTACCGCACACTCCTATCGATGCCGCTCACTCCTGAAGCGGAGGAGGTGTCCTCTGGGCAGAGGTTGCCTACGTAGCCTGTCTAGCACAGGCTGGGCAGTGGTTGAGTGTTACTTAGGAGACACTGCTGGTGCCTTAAGCTCCTTGCTCCTGGAACACCTCTCTGTCATGATGCCAATCAGCTGCCCACTGCCCGAGTCCCGCCGCAGGTGTAGAGCATGTCTCTATGTTTGCTATGCAGGCAGGCAGGGAAGTGCAAGAGGGAAGTTTGTGCTCATTAAGTTAATTCTTTTGCTCAGGCCAAGTGAGGCTGTGCAGTCATCAGTCCCTAGCCCCTGACATCCTGATTTCTAGTCTGATTCCTCCAAGCTGCTAGATAGCATTAGCCACAAGCCTCACAAAAGGTTAAGGGGTGTGTATGTGGGGGAAGCTGGGTGAATCTGCCTCTTTCTCTTGGATCCAGCTTGGGATCCCTGGTTAGTCAGACACTGGCTTCTGACCCTCAGTGTCACAGAAGCACAGAGCTGACAGCCACAGTGTGGGAAGGGACAGAGATGTAATCAAGCCTAGGGAGAGGTTGGAAGGAAGCACTTCACCCCTCTAGAACTGGGGTCTGCAAGAGGCTCTGACCCCCTCCCCCCACAGCGCAGTGTGGTTTGTAGGGTCCATTGGTGGGATGGCTGGCCCACTCCTTTCTCCCCTCTCCTTCCTGGCAGGAGCAGATCTGTGAGGCTCAGCACAGCGCAGGGCATACTTCAGCCACAATCAGCAGGAGCCAATATGATGCTCTGAGACGCTTACGTTCCTACTGGGTTCCTAGGTTTCTCATCCACCATGAGAGAGCCAAGCACCTTGGGTATGTGCCCTTTGGGACCACCTAGGAAATACGGGGGCTATGGAGGGGGAGGGAAGTGTTTGTAGTTCTCTGGCTATGGAATGGCTTGGATAGGAATGATCCTGCCTTGAGCAGGGGCTGGACTAGATGACCCTGCTTCTAGCCCTGCTTTTCTATGATCCTATGACTCTGTGGGTCTGGGGGGAGGGCCTTCTGCTGTGTTAGAAAAGCCTCATGAACACTGGGCTGTTGGTCAGAGCTCTTCCCTAGCTCCACGTCCCTTCTGCCTCCTCAACTGCAGAGGCCTTTAATAGGTTGGAGAGAATAGGATCCAGTGGTTAAAGCAGAGGCTGAGAACCAGGACTCCTGGGTTCTCTTCCTGGCTCTAGGAGGGAGTGGGATCTAGTGATAGATGAGGCATAGTATCCTACTGGGGTTTGGGCTCTATTCCTTGTTCTGCTGCCGACTCGCTGGCAGGACAATCAAGTCCAGCCGCCTTGCTCTGACCTGGCTTCCATCCTCTTAAATGAAAAGAAAATGCTTGGAAAGCAAAGTGCTACCTTTTCTTTTTTTTGGCATTCATGGTAGGCTTGCATCAAACTTGGGCTCCCAGGCCAAGGCTAGGTCACTCCTGCACGCTGACCACCTGCCTTCGGTTAAGGTGTATGCAGCGCTTCCTGTAGTGGGGGACCGATGCATGAGTCGCGTGAGCAGAAGCAGAGACTGGCTCAGTGTATGTACTGTTCCCTGTGGTTGTCGGGGGTGGAGGGGTTCAATATGGGTCTCTCACACTGGCAGTGTGTCCACCATCTACTGTAGTCCAATCCTGTAGCTGGTTAATGTCCTGAGTATGCCACTCTGACACCCAGTATGAGCATGTAGGTCCACACTTGCTTTGTGGAATATGAAACAAGTGGCTACCCCCTAGCTGATGTTGCAACCAGTGGCAGGGACCTGCCTAGAGTGGTAAATGGTCTGGAAACATCTCCAGTGGAGTTGGAGGAGCCGGGAGTCCAGGTTCTTTTGACATTAAGCTGCTGTAAGGTCTACTCTGACTCTAGCTTCAGCAATACAGTGGATTACACTGGGCCCCTGTGCTCTAGCTCAGTGGTTCTCAACCTTTTTTGGACCAGGACCCATTTGTAAACATTGGCCAGCCCCAACCCAGTGCCTCTCACTCCTGACCTGTTGCCCCGCACCCCCAGTATGTGGGGCAAGGGATGGGTGTGTGGGGCATGAGGAGCCCCAAGCCGTCTCGTGCAAGGGGAAAACTGCAGTTTCTCACATCTTCTCCTTTAAAGGAGAATCCATTTTTAAAGTTTGTTCACAACCCTTTCATATATTCTTGCAACCCACTTTTGGGTCACGACCCATGCCTAGCTGACCACTTGCAGAGGGTCCAGCGCAGTGCTTGTAGATGGGGGTGTGACTGGAACATTGGTGAGAAGGGCTGTGAAGAGGCTGGGCCTGTTCTGCTCCTCCCCAGTGATCTCCCACTTGCATTTGAGGGGGCTTCCACACTGTGAACGGCAGCTGCCTGCCATCTGGGACCCTGGCAATGACATGCCCCAGGGAGTCATTTGGAGTAGTTCCTCTCCTCCCACTAAGGCTAACTGTGGTTCCTTTGGCCCTGGCCTCAGGCAGCTCTTTCTGGCCTGTTGTGAGCAATTGCACCCACAGAACTGCTAGGACTGAGAAGCCCTCCTGTGCTGTATGCCCACTGCAGGTTCTGCACTCCGCAGGGACCAGGCATGGCAGGATTGAGTCAGCTCAGCCACCAGGCCTCATGTGGCCTCTTACTATGACACCACTGGCCTCCCGCCTCCTCCAAGCACTCAGATGTGATCTCAGGGGTGTGGGAGGCTTTCTCCACTACCTGATCAGGTGAGTCCTGGGCTCCTGTATCTTTCCAAGGCACAGACTTGTAGCTAAACCTAGGAAAATGAGCTGACATATTCCTGCACACCTAAAATTTGTTGCTGTGCTGGCTGTGACTGAGGAAAATGTCAAGATGTGGCATTTTCTGTCCTATACAAGCAAGTTGTGCGCTGCCACCACCAGCTGCTCAGGAGAAGAGGTGTCCAAGACACCATTCATATTCCTTCCACACTTGTCCTCCAGGTATGAGGATGCTCAAGAGGTGCACAGCCTGTTGCTGTGGCAGGCACTGGAGGAGCACAAGGCCTCTTGGGAGAGGCAGGCAGATCGGCTCCAGGTCCACCGTGCAGCCTGGCACATCTTTCACACGTACCTGGCCCATGACGCGGGATGTGATGTTGGTGAGTGCCCAGATACTGCCTCTACCACCAAGTGCGCATTCAAGTGCTAAGCCCACTTCACTGAGTATGTCTGGGTTGGGGTATGAGTGGAGTCCACTTAAACACTGGGCTCAGTCATGTACCAGCAAGGTGATGGTTGATGCTAGGAAACTTTAAGGAAGCTGGGACAGTTTAAGACTGAGCCTGCAGCAACCCAAATGGATTTGAGGCATGAAAGCAAGATGCCCTCAGTTCAATAACCCATTGTCATAGTCCTGATATCAGAAGGTCTAGAACCAAAGCAATAGTACAGCAAGCTGCTTCCCTTGCTTGGCTTCGAATGGAGTCCTGATAACTCATCTCAAGCATATGGATGCAACATGGAAGTGGCTGTCTGGTGTTGTGGTTCAGTTATCTGGATTCCTGCTGAAGTAGACCAGTAGACCTGTGGGGATTTCCTCTGAGTGGCCTAGAGCAGTGTTTCTCTACCCATGAGTCACGACTCAAAAGTGGGCCACAAGAATATATGAAAGGGTCATGAGCAAATTTAAAAAATGGATCAAACTTTAAAAATGGATTCTTCTTTAAAGGAGAAAGATGTGGGAAACCGCGGCTTTTTCCTTGCAGGCTGCCAGTGTTCCAGCCTGCAAGGGGCTGCTTGGGGCCCCCCGCCTCATTGGCGATGTATAGGGGGTGCATATGTACTCCCTGAGATTGGCCGTGCAACCCCTGGAAGCGCCAGCTGCAACACTGGAAGTGCCCTTCTAGTTTGGGTATTTCCAAGCTTGCCGATTGACTGCAAGGAGACCCCCCACCCAGTCGGCGATCAGCCATGGGGGGACCTCCCACACTGTTGGTGATTTGGTGCCCCCCCAGACTCAGGAGGCACCAGTCACCCATGCCCTTCCCCACGCACTGGGAGGCCAGGGGTGGGGAGCAGTGGATAGGGAGTGAGGGACACTGGGTCGAGAATGGCCATCAGTGTTTACAAATGGGTCCTGGTACAAAAAAGGTTGAGAACCACTGGTTTAGAGAACCAGTGCACAGGCTTCTAGGCTGGACTACAAGAAGGTAAGTGTTGATGAGTGCCTGTACCTTCCCATTCGAAGTCCCACAGTTCGCTGTGTCAAACTTGCTCTAGGAAAGAGTCCTAGGTCAGCCCTCTCCTCTACTTCTCACCTTCCCACAGGGCTGGCCTATGATATGCCGCTTTATGTCCAGCACCTTCAGGATCTGCTCAGCACCAGTGATGGAGGCCTGGAGCCCATGGCCTTTGAGCCCGTGGCTCAGCATGTGCTTGCTGTCCTCTGTGGGTCCTGGCTCCGCTACTTCCGCTATGAAATTGCCACCTTCCTGAAGTGAGTTCCCAGAATCCTTGACACCCATTTCTCAGGTTCCCAAAGCTTGCAGAGACATTCAATTCCTGGATTATTCTCCCTCTGTACACTCAGCAAAGGCCCTTAACACTTATCTGAATCACTCTTGCTTCTTGTGCCCTATGTTGTTGGCTCCAGAACCACACAGTGAATCCTTTGGCACCATCTCCCTTCATGTAGGAAGAGTCCAAGACTGGAGCAGCCAGGAGCTCTTGCCTCTGTCCCCCGCCCCTCTCAAAGCCAGTGCTCAGACCCTTCCCTTTTGCACACTTCCTGCCAGGACTGGAGTAGCTGGGAGCTCCCCTCCCCTTCCAGCCAGTGCCCTCGCCCTGTTGCCTGTTCCCGTGCTGGAGAAGGCAGGGAATGGAGCAGCTAATTCCTTGGGAACCAGTGCTTCTGCTAGGAGTGAGCTTCTAAATGACTGATCGTCCTGGATAACTCAGCTGGCTCCAGACTGTCTGTGCAGACAGAGATAGATAATTCTTTCCAATTAGCCAGTCGTCCTGGCAAAAATCTTTTTGAAGCCTGGTTCTCAGCCACTGTGTGTCTCTCCTTGGCTCGCTCACCCCATTCCACTGTCCTTCTCACAGGTATTGTGTGCCAGCCTCTTTCTTTGAAGCCCAGGATATTAGGAGCAAAGAGAGTAGAAACAAGCAAGAAAGGAGAAACAGGTACTTCCTTGTGTGCCCCTTGGGCCAACAGATATTTGGCATAAAGGTTAGCTATCATTAGTTTGTAACCACCCCAACAGGGACCATTTGTAGTTATGGACGTGAGTTTGAGCTAACAAGTTGCTTTCACAGCTAAAACTCCAGCCCCTTTGACCAAGTCCTGGCTTCCCACTATCCCTGTTTCACGCATGCAGCCTCCAGGTCCATGCATCTAATCGGGAATGTGTGCCCTGGGTGACACTTGCACTGTAGTGCCCTGATGCACATGGGAGTGCAGGCTGCTATTTTGGGAACAAGTTTATATTTAGCTCTCACCTCTTGTTTGCAAAAGGACCTGAGGTGCATCACAAACAGCTCTCATGTTGAGAATCATTTTACCCGCTGCTGAAATGTGCATGCCTCTGGGGTGGAGGATGGCAGCTGCTGACACACCCAAACACTGCACAGGATATGAACAAACAGACTCACCACAGCAGGAAACGTGGAAGCCAGCATACATTTTCCGAGGCTGGGATACTGGTAGTACCACTGCAGTACCTCTGTCTGATGCGGTCTTCTGTGACCACATGTTGTCAGGCCCTGAAAAAACACCACCTCCGAGATCCCAGCAACCGCTAAGTGCCAAGAAAGGACTTGAGAGAAATAAATGCAAGCTCAGCTATGGCTATGCTGACAACCCTTTTAACTCCTTGCAGGGCCAGGAAGAGGAGGAACAATGCCAGATCCCATGCCCAGGAAGGAAGAGAACAGCAGAAGCAGAAGAAAACAGCATCTAATCCACTGGGCTCAGGCCTGGCCAAGGAGGACACCCCAGCTGGCAGGGTGTCAGTGACATCCCAGCCATCCCTGGACCTGCTCAGCAACAAGGTGGTTTTTAAAGTTTATAGGAAAGCGGCTCAGGAAATGCAGGATGCTGGCTTGCAAAGGGCACTGGGACTGCTGCAGAAGCTGGAGTGCTGCTGGGAGGCCCCAGGGGACAGGCAGCGGCTGGGCAGCACCCTGAAACTCCTGGACCTCTGGGACCAGCAAGGGTCTGAGTCAGCCAACCCTCAGCTCCCTCGAAAGCTGAGGAAGAGACTGAGGGTGGAGGTGGCCCAGGGTGGAGTGAGCGACTTGAGCCTGGAAGAAATGCAGGCAGCTCTATATTCATATGTTGCTCAGAGCTTTGACGGCTTCTGGGCTGAGGTGAGTGAGGGCCTGAGCAGGCACGGAGTGCAGCACACCCATCTGCAGGAGGAGGGCTGGGCCATGCTGGAGCCACTCCTGCACTCGCTGGCTGCCAAGGTGGCCCTCAAGCACCTAAAGAACAGGAAGGCCAAGGCGGGGTCTGCAGCCACAGCCCGGCCTAGCCAGGAGGACAAAGTCTCCTTCTGCCAGTCCCTCCGGGCTGCTGCCGAGGGCTGGCCCAGCCTGGAGATGCTGCACTTCCTCCAGTACCTGCAGGTCCATGGCCCCCCCGTGCTGGAGACCAGTCTGTGCTTCCAGCTGGAGGTACAGAAGTTCAAGAACGCCCATCATGGCACGCCGGACGGGGCCCTGCTCAGGAAGAAGGTGCAGGTGATCCGTGATGGCTTCCTCCTCTCCCAGCTGGAGCCCAGGCTGCAGGTAGTTCCCAGGCTTGGAACAAGAGGCAGGGATGGGGCAAGGAGACAGCCAGACAGGCTGCTACCTGGGGACAGAGAAAGCAAGGGAGGGAGGGAGGAGAAGATGGAGTTGAGCCAGAAGCACCAGCTTCCAGACTGCGGTTATGGAAAGAGGTTTGTGGATCAGAGCAGGGCCCTGGTAGGTGATTACATCTTGGGTACAGGGCACCCCCACACACACTTCACTGCTGTTGGGCAGGTGCGTGCCCCAGGATGTGAGGGGGAGGTGAAGCCCCTTCTCCTAGGTAGGATGTGTAGGGGATGTTTTGAGAGTGAGCCCCTTTCCTAGTTGGAGGGGGTAGGATTCATGAAGCAGGAAGCCCCATCTCCTGGGTGGGAAGGCAGGGTAGTCTATGGGAAACACTGAGAACCGGCAGTGGTCCATCAGGCCCGGAAGTTGAGAAGAACTTTGAAGAATGCCATGTGCTCTGTTGTGCAGTCCCCAAGTCCCGGGAATGGACTGGTGTGCAAGTGAAAGGCCTTCTGCAGGTCTACCCTTGATCACACTGGAAAAACTGGGCCTCATTGTTCATAGCTAATGCTATAGTGAGGATTAGGATGAGATTCAGGTAACAGGCCCACCCTCTCACCCAAGGTACCCTACCCCCAGCTCAGACTAAACCCCATCCCCTTTCAAGCTCATCTTGCTCCCCCTGGAGCAATGTCCTGCACAGTAGCAACTGCAGTTGTAACACTGTAAGTGGAAAAATCATAGTGTCTGTTTCTGTCAAAGCAGCCTGGGAGCAGCTAGGATGTCTATCACCCACCTGGTCCCTTGGGGCCTTCTACTGCTGAGGGGGAGAAGAAAGCTTCTGCACCTGGATGCATGCTTCCCAGATACCAGGCTTGTTTGTGGGTTGTTCTTCAGGTGGCAGTGGATGCAGAGAAGCTGGGGAGGGCTGTGCAGGCAGCTGAGCAGGCCCTCCAGAAGGATGCTCCGTTACCACCTCCGAACCTGTTCGATGAGCTGAGGGACTCTGTGTTGAGCAGCCTCCTGCCCTACTGGGCTTGTTTCCAGAAGGCCTGGCTGCAGCGGTCTCCTACAAGTGCCCAGAGAGCTCCAGGTAGGGCCCTCATAGAGTTTCTGGCCTGCCATAAGATCTCTTCCCCTCCCAGGCATCCCCTGAGGAAATCAGGGAAATGGAGACAGTGCAGGTCCATCCCTCCCAAAACCCAGGGCAAGGAAGATCTCTGTTGCAGCAGGAAAGTGGCCTGGCTGTGTTTTAAGGAAGGGAAGATAGGAGAGGCATATGGAAAGTTTGCTTGCCTGCATAATTCCCATGCTAAATTAAAAACATATGCAGAGATGGCTAACAGGAGGCCTCTGGCAGGGAGACTGGGCCAGAGCTCAGGACACAACTCTGGCAGAAAGATTTTCACAGCTGCTGGTGCTGTCTGAAGGGTACTTGGCTTTACTCCATCCCATGCCTCCTTGCTAGGCAGCCCCTGACGCTCGCAATAGATGAATCCTTAGTTAATATTTCACATTATCTCTCTGGTTCCTCTTGCGCTTTGCTTGTGGCCCCTTTAAGGGCATTCTCCCATGGGATGTTTCCTGGCTCTGTGTCTGAAAGGCCAGAACAGATGAATGCATGGATCCTTTTGGACAAGCGGCCGCTGATGAATGCAGGGGCCTGGACTTGATGGCCTGGGAGGCCCTTTCCTGCCTTGTGCTCCATTCAGTCACCACTCAACAAAGCTGCCCACCTCCTGCTCTCCCTGCCTTTCCCTTGGTGTCTCCAGCAGCTTCCCCAAGTTCCCTCTCTTTTGTCAGCACCTTGGCATGTCCAAAGCTGACTTCAGGACAGGCTCCCCCTCTTGTGGTAACACTGACCAGGCCCCCTTAGTGGTTGTGGGGATAAGGTCACCTCCTACAACAGTGATGCTCAACCAGGGAGATGGGACCGTGAGATCCTTTGAAGAGTGTTAAAAGGTTTGAGGAGATGAGCAGATAAGCTAAGGAAATAAGTGCAGGCTCAGGCTAGTTCCAGCCTGGATAATCCCCTATCTCCACTTTCTGGCCCTTCTGTAACATATACAATAGTTTTGAAAATGGGTGCCACTCAATTCACAAATGTTATGGAGAGGTGCGTTGAATCCAAAAAGGTTGAGAACCACTGTCTCACTGGGTAGCCAGATCTTGCCTGAGACAGTCATCACTCTGTGGGGCTCAGGGCATGTACACCAGTATCTTCTGCCTAGTCTAACTCCTAAGTAGGTTGCAGCTCCCACCCCAGGGAAGGGCAGCCAGATTTGCAGCTCCTTAGTGTGGACAACTGGTGCCCTAAGGTGATTGCCCACAGTGACTGCAGAAGGGGTGTGCTCCTGATGACATGACCAATGGACTTGTGGAGCCACAAAGCTTCCAACCCTCCTACCCCCATGCTGTCACCACTAGCTCCTGTCTCTGCAGGCTAAAGTGCCTGCTCTGCCCAAGCCAGCAGACACCTGCAGGGCTGACTGAACACATGAAGGATTTCTCCCCTCCAGATCAGCCAGCTGCTCCAGGCACTGAGCTGCCATTCCAAAGCTTTGTGCAGAAAAGGCATACCAGTCAGGGGCTGAGAACCACAGTCCCTCCAAGGCCTCAGCCTGAGGTCCACTGTTTGTGTTAGAGTGCTTTTTCCTCCGCAAAAAAAAAAAAAGCATGGGGTAGGACACAACCATCACTGCACCAGGTACTGCATGGGGTTCAACAGGGCATGAAGCATCATGCACCCAGCTGAACTGCAAGACTGGGGAGGGGAGGCATCTGTTACCTGAGCAGGGGCTCAGCCACAGTTGTGGGAGAAGTGTCAAGGGTTCTCTTGAGGACAAGAAATCTACACCTTTGCCTCCCATCTGTGACAGATGTAGTTCCCCTCAGCACCAAGCTGGGGCTCTGGGATCATGCCAGCCCTCAGGGAAGAGCAGTCCCTGCTGAACTGAGTTTTCCTCATCTAAATACCGACATGAGCTTGTCTTTAGCTTAGGTGCGCGTGTGTGGCAAGGTGTGGGAAGGGATGTTGCCCAGGCCCCGGTGGCATAGGGGGTGTGGATGGCTGTCCTTTGGAGCAGCTATGTGGTGGGTGTGCAGGGGTGAGAGGTTGAGGCCAGCCCTTCATTGCTTTCTCACTGAAACCTTCTTCCCCTGAAGTGCTGAGAGCTCAGCAGCTGCTGAAGCAGAGATGTGCCTGGTTTGAGAAGCCCCAGGGCCTGCGACCAATGCTCCAGTTGCCTCCGTTGCAGCAGCCTGAGCAGGGAAATGAGCAGCAGGACAATGTTACCTACACCTTCTCAGTCAGCAGGGGCATTGCCCTGAAGGTCAGTGTGCAGATACACATGCACCCAGCTAAAGGGGAGGAGGTAGGGGAGGCCCCCAAAGGACCCAACAAAATTAGGCAGTGGGGCTGGCGGGAGGGAGGATGGAGGGGGGCTTTAATTTCTTCCTGCTCTGGCTGATAGGGATAAGCCTCCTCATCCTTGCTATGTAAAGCAGAAGCAGCTTTGCCTTAAGCTCCTGCTGGTAGCACCCAGCCTGCTCCTCACACCCACACTCCAATATGGAGAGGAGACGTCATCTGCAACATCTACTAATATAGCAACATGCTCCAGAACAAGCCACTGGACAACTGAAGCCAGCTTCCTCCATTGTAACATCCTTCACAGCCACAATCCAGTGCAGCCACTGCTGGGCAGGAACATGGCAACTGTTAACATGCTGCGGTCTAGGGCAGGAATGATCTGTATAGACCCGTTCCCTCCCACTTCCCAGCCTTCAAGCTTGTCTCTAAGCTTTTCAAGTTCCTATGGCATCCAACTCTTATGTTTTACTACTCCTTCTATTCAGGCCTCCAGCAGAGAAAGTACAGCCAGCATCAGCACAAATACCTCTGGGCTCAGACATGGCAAGAGGTCATCAAGATTTCAGCTTCCTCCCATTCCCAAAATACCCGCACCTATCTGATCTGGATGGACAACACTGCCATGAAGAGAAGCAGCCAGAGCAGGCCAACTAGGCTAGAAACACCCAGCAGTGCCCCTGCTCTGTTGGATCTCAAGTAGAGCAAGACTTTTGTCCCATGCTGGAAGTTACAGTCCTAGGGCAATGGATGCCAGCAGGAAGGGGTGTCGGGGCAGCCCGCCCTCGTTTGGTAAGGCTGGTTCATCTACCTCAGCTGCATGAAAACTCTTGCTGAGCTCAGGCAGATGCTGCCTGTACTCCTGATGCAGAGGCGGGAAGTGAGTCAGTGCTGTAGGGTGCAGGGAGCATGACAGGGCACTGAAAACAGAGCCTACTCTCTCCATAGCCCTTCTACCTCTGCTCAGATTAGCCATGCCTCACTGGCCAGTGAATGGGGACCTGCCCCTGCCAGAGACAGTTCTTGTTCAGCAGCTGGAAGATGAGGTCAAGGCAGGTGTCTGAAGTGACATTAAGCCTTAAGGCTCCCAAGGAGTTTTCATGCCAGCTTGTTACAGCTGATGTGACATTGCCAGCCTGGCTTTGAAACAGCAACACCCCCTGCCACCAAGCTTAACTGAGCCTTTGCTGCTATCCCACCACTCCTCTAAAATGGGAGAAGCTGAGCAGGTCAAGGGGTTTTCCCTCCTGTTCAGAAGGAGCAACTGTCACAGCACACATGGTGTAGCAGGTCACTGCCACAGCAGGCTGTTGCTGTACAGAGGGGAGGGAGGCCACGGCAGTGCCACCAATAACAGGATGGGGGGAGCACACAATAAATTGTTTTACTCCCGTCCTATGGCACTAGCCTGTATCCATATTAAGAATGGTCAGAGCTGAGGATGTGGCATGTGAGACCCTGCCATCCCTTGGTAACAGGGAAATAGGAGCTGATACACATACTGGAGTGACAGCCAACACAGGAGGAAGGTGTAAGGCTGCTTCTAGCACCAGGCCAGCTGTGCATGGCACTCTGGTAGGGAAGATGGCTCCCACATGTGTTGTGCTCAGCTCTGACCTGGACACCAGGCCCTTGCCCCTATTGCCTCCTGCTTGCCCTCTCTTGCAACCTCTTCCTGTCTGGTCACAGCTACTCAACTCCTGCCCCTCCCAAATTCATTTGCAATGCTGCTCAGATTATTGTCCTGGTTCCTCACTGACAGCATCACTCTGCATCCACAGCACTAAACACAAGCTACTTCCTTTTGTGACTACTCCCAGCTTTGCCCGCAGCTGCTCTGCTTGCTCACCGCAATGCTGATTGCTCCCTTTGCTCTGCCAGTGTTCCCTGACTTCATGGCTCAGTCACCTTCCTCCTTGTGCATAGGAAAATTCCCCAGAAGTCCAGACATCTCCAACCTCAGTCTCTTCTGCCATGGTAGCTCCAAAACCAGTGAGGGGGCCACCCTTTTTTTTTTTTTTAGCAGATGTGCCAAAAAACAGCCCTTGTAGCCTCTGAGAGTGCCAGTCCTCTGCCCAATCTGTGCTGCTTTCTGCTTCCATCCCTGTGCTCCCTGACTGATCAGCTGCCCTGCTTCCCTGCCCAATTTATTGTGTGCTCCATATAGAGGCTGCTTGTGCCACTTGTGGCACTCATACTGCAGGTTGGCCACCCCTTTTTTAGGCCCTAGAAGCCAAGAGTAACTGGACAGGGAGTGGACTCCCATTACTGCTTAGCAGTGCAAATGTTGCCGGCTTAGTGGCATAAGCTGTGATCTGTCAAGTGCCTTGGAGGGGCTCTATCTCCACTGTAGATCCAACAGCAAATGGCAGAGCCAGGGTCAGTGGCTCTAGATGCTAATGCAACACAGGTCATGGAAAGGTTTCAAGTGCCTGTATGGATGACTTGGGAGTACGGACAAATGCTATTAGCGCTCTCTTAACCTCCAGACTGAAACTGCACTGAAGTCAGCTCCAGCTCAAATGGTTTCAGCACCCACTGTACCCTGGAAATAACATATTTCCTTCCATCTCTAAGCACAGTGTGGCTGAGACTACTGTTGGCACAGGAATAAAGGCCACTAGTGAGCAAGTCTCTTGTACTGGTGGCAGGGGCTTAGAAGCAATGGGCATAATGGCACTCACTCAATGCAGACAGGCTGTTCTGACTGAGGACTTTACTGAGGAGTTGTGGGATGACTGCATCTCTGCCTGGGCTGGATGTGGCACTGGGCACTGTGCAATCTCTATGGTACTGGCTGCAGAGGCTGAGCCAGTGGACTTTCCCATGCTGGTTTCTAAGCTCTTCTTCTAGTAAAATATGAGGGCTGGCTGGGCCCTGTTGGAGGGTGAAAGGGCCATCCTACCCCTGTGTAACATGCTGAATAGGAACCAGACTGCTCATAAAAGAGGCAGAGCAGCTGCTGAGGAGCTCTGCAGGGACAGCTTCCACTCAGCCCTTGCTGTGCTGGGCCTGAAGAGAAACTGCAGTCAGACAGCATTGTTCAGCCCATCTCTGCTCTTTATTAGCCTTGGGTACCATTGTGCTGCTCCCCCAGTAGCAGAATCCCTGTCAGTTGCAGCTGAGGAGCAGGGACACCCCTCAGCAAGGCCAGGAAAGGCTGGCTCCTTCTGTGACACCACCCCCATGACTCCTGGCAGAGAGGGGGAAATGAGTCACTACCTCCAGTCACTCAGGTCAGGATGGGCAGCCCTCATCTCTCTCCTCTTCAGGAGGCAAAAGCACTGCACTGACCCACAAGGCAGGGAACCAGATAACCTTGGTCCACATTACTGGTGGCAGCAGTGTTCAGTGGTGGGACCCGTTAAGCCACCAAAATACACAGAGCAGTGTGTGCCCTGTTCCAGCAGCCCGAAGGCTTGGGGCTGCCAACTGTGGTTCATCCAGCTGACCCACAAACAAAGCATCAGAGCTTAGTCTGGACATACTCCAGTGCAGCAGTCAGGACTCCCTGTATGTCCTTGGTATTTCCAGAGCCCTTGGCTACAATGCCAGAGCCCCCTGCTTTGCCTCCCATCCATGTACAGACAGCCACGGCCCAGTCGGCAGCAGAAAGCATGGGTAGGGAACTCTGGGGAAGAGAGAGATGACATGAAGTGAGGTTAGCTTGGGAGCCCAAAGCACTGTAGCTTGGATAGAGAAGAGAGGCATAGAAGGTTCTAGCACAGGGGCGGGCAATTATTTTGGGTGGAAGGCTGCTTACTGAGTTTTGCCAAGCCATCGAGGGCAGCATGACAGGCAGCCAGGGGCAGATAAATATTAATTTTCTAAATTTGTTAGGGGCCCCGTGGGCCGGATAGAATGGCCTGGTGGGCCTTATCTGGCCTGTGGGCTGCATTTTGCCCATCCCTGTTCTAGCAGCTGGGGTCCTGGCAGGACCATGGAGGCTGAGCTTAGCAACCCAGATGCTACTGCTTTGCCTGCCTAATAGCTGATGTGGGCCCTGTGCCTGAATTCTCCCTGTGCAGACTAAAGTAAGCTTAGGAAAGGCCGAAGGCTTGGGCATCTCTTGCCCGTCTCAGCCTGGACTCCTCCACATGGCTCAGTAGCAGCACTGACAGGCTACAATGAGGAGTCCTATTGAGTTCCCTACCAAAAAGGAACAACGTGGTGCCTGGCTGTACTCTGGTCTTTCTGCAGCCCTACTTCCATACCACAGAGCCTGGCCTGCTTTGTTAACCCTTTATAGGCGGAGACTGTTTGCTTGATACATGCAGCAGCCAGCTTACCTTGGACACCTGACAGGCACAGAGTACCTGGCCGGAGGCCTGTGGGCTGAGCAGCAGCACTGACACCCCAGATTTGTCACACAGCTGGTTTACAACCTTTACCAGGATCTAGGAGAAACAGAGGGGGGATGAGTCAGAGCCCAGGCAAGGGAGGCTGGAAGGGAGTGGGAAGGATCATGAACAAGGGACAAGGCAGATCCACAGAGCAGCAGGTTATTGCACCAAGCCCAGGACACGGTTGGACCGGCCAGTGGGCAGCTCAGGTCACTTCATTTTCTGACCCAGCAAATTTTGGGGTGACTCCAGCTACCCATCTCCACCCCACCTCCAATCTTTGGCAACTCCCTTGCTGTGGCTTAATGCACCTATGCTTCTAGCCTGACAGCTCCCTCCGACTCCAGATCCTGGCCCTACTGATTCCACCTTGTGCTACCTGCATAGTGGTATCCTTCCTGGACACTCACCGAGAGGGAGGCCACTGGAACAGTGTCGATTATAACAGGCTGGTTGGGATGTTTCTCCAGCAGGATCTGTGCTGCCTCTGCGGCCTAGAGAAGGAGACACAGCACTATGAGGGACTGCTGCTGCCATGGGCATAGGGTGAGGAAGGCACACACCCACCGTTGCACCTGATGCTACGTAAGGGGCCAGATTATATCCTGAGCTCCTCTTCATCGGCCTTGCAGGGTGGGTGTGGGAAATGGAACCTCTTTTAAAGGGAAAATGGAGTGTAGCATTCATGTTTCATTTGGTCCTCAGTCCCTCTGTCAAGAACATGCTGTCCAATACATTTTTACAGCCAGCATGTGGTTAATTAGCAGGGATTTGGGTTTTCCATTTCCCACGGAAAAACCAAGTAAAATGTGGATTTCCCCTCTTATCGAAATAAAATGCAGATTTCTCATTTTAGCAGAAAAACCTGAAGATTTTGTAGTTTTAAAAAGAGCTCTCTGCAGTCTGGCATTTCCAGCCTGCAGGGGGCTGGGAGGGAGCAGAGGAGGGCAGTCAGGCAAGGGGTGCCATTCACATGGCTGCCAGGCAGCTTGGAGAGCAATTTCCCCCACACAGGGGGAGAGGGAGGGATGGAGTTGAACAGGGCCCAGGGCAGCGTTTGAGGCTTGGGGCCCAGGGCCATAATGGATGGCTGCAGAGCCCCAGTGAGTGGGATGGGGCCACAGGCAGCTTGCTGTGGAGGTGGGGACAACTCCCTGCTGCCCTGGCAATGCATTTCCTGCGCGTGCAGAGCGGTGAGGGGTACAACCTTGTGTCACTGTGCATGCAAGGGACGCATTGCCAGGGCAGCATGGAACTCGCAGTGGCAAGCAGCTTTCCTGCACAGTCCCGCTGTTCCCTGCAGCGCTGGGTCACACCTGCTGGGCTGCAGAGGCTGTGGGAGAGGGCAGCAGGGCAGGAGCCTGATCCTGCAGCGGGCAGTCCCCAACCCCCACCACAGATCTGGGGCACAGGTTCCCCCTACCCTCTCGGAGTGCTTGCAGCAACATGGGTAGAGATGGGCTCCACTCCATTGCAGCAGCCACCACCTCCTGCTGGGGGCAGGGGGCTGTGGCACTGGGTCCCTGGCCCCACAGCCCTGGTGGCTGGGGGGGGCAGGGAGCACTAGCAGGGCTGGGGAAGCTGGGAGGGGTGAGGGACACCAGTAGGGCCAGGAGGTTGTGGGGAAGAGTGAGGGGCATCAGCAGGGCTGGGGGGCTGTGGGGAAGGAGAGGCATAAGTACAGCTGGGGGGCCTGTGGGCAGAAGTGAGGGGCACCAGCAAGACCAGGGGGGGCTTTCAATTTAAATCACAGATTTTGGGGGTTTTATCAGAGAATTTGTGATTTTTTTTTTTTTTTTTTATCAGAGAAGTTGAGATTTTTTAATCAGGAAAAACGAGGATCTCTGTTAATTAGGCACTGGTGCTTTGCTTGAAAGAGATACTAAATCCTTCAGCTACTTGAAGAGAAGATTAAGTCATCAAACTTTCCTAGAACGTGTACGCCTGAAATGCAATCAGATTAATTACCAAAATAGAGGATGCAGCTATGGCAATAAGAGCAGGGCCCAAGGGTCCAAATTCTATTCCCTGCCCTGCCTTTGCTTTGCTGTGGGGCCAGGTGATAAAGACACACCTCAGCTTCATGCCTCAGTTCACCAGTAGTCTTGCAGGAGGGATATTTACCTCCCTCCCAGTGGGGTTGTGTTGGGAAATCAGCAGCTGCTTAGGGTTTTCATGAAGCTCTCCAAATTCTAAGCCCAGAAAGGAGCAGAGATTTTGCAGAGGGTGAAATGTCAGGTCCATCATATAAAATTAATGACTGATTAAGTTTAGATGAACTGGCCACAAGAAGCCCAACCAAGGGCTTCTTTGTGCGCCAGCTGCAATAGCATTCTGCTTTCCCCAGCATTTCAAGGGGATCTGGATTCTTAGCAAGGTTGCTCTTTAGCATACAGAACTGCTAGGGTTTCCTTGGAAGGAAGATCAAACCCAGAGAACCTGCCTGGCCCTCTACTGTAGAGCAGTTTGGTGCGATAAGCAGGCTGCTGAGCCCTGGCTGCTGCATCCTCACCTGACTGATTTCCAGCTTCCTAATGGCCGTGTTTGTAGCTCGCTGCAGGGCTTTGAGGAGGGTCTGTAGTTCTCTTCTCTGCCACTGGGGCATTGCAGTGGTGTCCAGCTCCTGTGGGGCAGGGGAAAGAGTTACATCAGCTACTTAACCCCCACATTTACACTTCCTAGGGGAAAGACAGACAGACAGACATCCTTCTGTGTGAAGAACACAGCACTCACTTTGATAAAGCAGCCCACCTCCTTAGAGAGGTTCTGTATCTCAGGGAGAGAGGAGTTTCCTTGCTTCACTCTCACACAGAGAGAG